GGCACTGACCTTCTAACCTCATCTGCCTCTTTGCCTAACCCCTCTTTAAAATAAACAGCATGAGCCACACATGCTTTGAAGGGAAACTGTCTGTAAATAGACTATTTCAGTACCCCTGTCCTAGGGCTTAACGCTTGATTTTTGCCTAGTCTCCTAGTTATTCTTTGTGCACATATTTTACACAGCCATAACGAAATAGATGTGAAATTTCAGACTCTGATGGGCTACCTGGGTCTGACGGCCCGCTTCTCTCTTTATACCTGGAGCAGCAGGGTTAAACGCTGGGCTGTGTGATGTTCTACTGACATACTCTTTCAGGGACTACGCACACGACTCCCTACCACCAGCTGTACTCAGTATATCAGCCATACCTCTATGGCCTGACTTCCCAGCTCATCAGGTATAGACACCCATGAAATTAGCTCAATATTTACTACATTCTGTCTTCCCACTTTTCGTATTAGTGTCATCACAAATTCCATTCAGTCTATTTTCATCACTTTCCCAACCTCCTACATCATGCCTACATAAATGGACCAGATCCCCTAACCCCCAAGCCCTCCCACACACACACATACTGGACTCTTCTTCGCCAGGAGAAGAGGTAACACAGTGAGATATGAGTGAAGTTAGAGCCCTTTCTTTCCAGCAAGTGACTTATACTGGGTAAGTGGGAAAACAGGGAGGAATCAATAGAATAGTAATAGGGCACCTGGTAAACGCAAGCATATCGATTAGCATTTTTCACCAGCTGGTACTCTCATATTCCAAATCATGACGACAACGAGCTGGTATTCTCAAGATGTGAGGTAGGAAGCTTTCATTGACTGGTCTCTGTGTGGTTTACTCTCCACACCCATCTCTATTTGTCTCTACTATCTGGTGGGGATAGACAGGGTACCTCCAGGCTTACTGAGGAAAGGTGCTGCTCCTCAGTCACAGATGGAAGGCTCTAGCAGGCAATCAGAGGATATATGAAGAAAAAAACTGGAAGAACCTTGCCAACCTGTAATGCCTTCACATCATGTCCACAGCATCCCCCCACTGGGCCTTCTCAGAGGGCCATCTCACAGCCTAGCCCTCAGCACCACATCCAGAGAAGCTCCTCGAAGAACTATGATCTGTGTACCTTCTCATAGAGCACCCCACACACTCAGCCATGTCTCGTAGTGTCTCCCCAAGCACTGTCTGATGACCTGACATCAGAACACAAATCCATGCTGGGCCTAGGGCTCATACCTAGAATCTCAGTGCTCAGGAGGCTGAGGCAGGAGAATACTATGAGTTCAAAGCCTGCCTAACTATAGAGTGAAACTCTCGGAAGAAAGGAAGGAAGGAAGGAAGGAAGGAAGGAAGGAAGGAAGGAAGGAAGGAAGGAAGGAAGGAAGGAAGGAAATAAAGAAGGAAGAAATTACTTCCTGCCTTACCTGATGTTACCAGCCCAATTCTCCAGAACTACAAGTAAGTTCCCATAACTGTGCCCATCTCTTCTTCTGTGCTCACTTAGTTAAACTTGAACCCTATCCAAAGATCTACCTTGCAGCTAGAATCTGCCAGACAGAACCTTCTCATCTAGTTTCTGGTTACAGCACCGCTAGCTCAAGGCTTTGCCATAAGAGAGCACCCTGACTTCACAGACAACTCTGCTCCTGACTCACCAACCTCCTATATGGCCCCGACTCGGCCTAAAATATCCATGTACATCTCTACTCATTCTTTTAAAACAGTCTGTGATTCAACAACTCAACAAAGCCCTCACAGACTGACTCACATACTGAAAGAAAATATGTGAAATTTTTTCTTGTAACCAGCAGGACACCAACGTTCTGTGCAGAATGAGTACTAGCTGGCTCTAGCTGACTTTTTAAAATCCTTTCTCTCTAGACTACCAGTCAATCATCTGGATATTAAGAGCCCGCCATTAGTAAATGGCTCACCTTGCAATGCAGGCAACAGAGAAATCTCAATCCTTGATGGTCCAAAATGGCCTCTAACAGTTGAACTGCTACACCCATGTACATCAATATTCTATACCATGAAGCCAAAATGCTTAGGATGAGGGGAGAAAAGCAGAAACTGGCATGCGCAAACACTCAAAAACAAAAATGAGTGACTATTCCTGCTTTCTCTCTCTTGAACACATCAGTAGACCGGTTGTTACTGGCTTCCTAACAAGTAAACAAGAACTACAAAGTAAACTCCCTCGGTCTGTTGCTTATTTGCCTTGGTCTAAAACGGAAAAGTAAACAAAATAACACCACAAATCTTTGTTGTTTGATGTAAGGCTAATAACTGGCTCTCAGCTACTTTAAACAAAGTCGCAATCACTCATTATGCAACAACTTCCCTAAATGACTTAAAATGTTTGGCTCACAAAGAGCACAAAACAGATGGAATAGTAAAGTCTCTAATTATGAATAATAATTCCATGATAAGATGTCTCAACAGGGATTGAGGGAGGGAATACATAAAACGAACTATCTGTTACTAATGATTGTAAATAAAAGGCCCAACTAGAAGTGTCTTAAATAATTTAAATATGTAGTATCTATTTAAATATGAAGTCTGGAGACAGATGACAGAAACTCAATGCTAAATACATGTTTAGGATTCTCATGAGCACAGAATGGCTGCAAGAACTTCCAATTCTCTATTCTCACTGACAGCACCCAGATGGGGGGAAAAGGAGAGAAATGACAGGCAAAATTGTTCCTTCATTTGTTTGTGTATTGGCATAATCCAGTTTCTTGTCAAAAAGAATTTTTTTTTCTAGAAGTTGACTCTCTCCTTTATAGTTCAATGGCCAGAAGCAGTCTTCATGGATATAAGGGAACTGTGTGCCATTATTGCCTGATACCAGTCATCACTTGTCAAATGAGCCCCAGTATGTCTGAAAGCAGGAGATGAAGCTGTACTTCGGCTGCCATTATATGTAGCACTCAGAAATCATTGGATGTTAAACCAAGTGTGATGGATATTCTTGTTTGTCAACTTGACCTCTAGAATTAACTAAAACCGTTGTGGAACAAACAACTGCTGGGCTTTTGAGGCTTCCATTGGTAGACAGCCATTGTTGGGATAGCTGGACCACAGCCCACATGCCATTCTGATAAATCCCCTTTAGATGGATAGATAGATAGATAGATAGATAGATAGATAGATAGATAGATAGACAGACAGACACAGACTGAGTGACTGACTGATTCATTCTATGAATTTTATTCCTCTAGAGAATCCTGACTACTACACCAAGTATCCGCTTCAAATTCATAGAGAAGTAAAGTTCAAAAGGCAAAGAGGGGTCCTACCGTGCAATTGAAGGAGCCAAGCAAGAAATGAGAGTCAGCAATGAACAAGGCAGGGTGAGCAGAAGCCACTGAGCTCTGCAGTGTGTGGTCCATCAGAAGCCACTTAGGTCTACATCACCCTATGGTCACATGACTTCAAATTCCAGCCAGGCTGGAATAAACAGGCTCAGGAATAAACAGATAACCCTTCTCTAACCTTCATATAGGTTAACCCAATATATGCAGGCCAACTTCAGCTCATACAGGAGAGAAAACTTAGAAACTTAACTCAGAAAACTTAACTCTCTTACTGTGTGCCAGATGCTATAAACAATTGAGTTTACTCATCTGATCTTATTTCAATTTAAAACAAACAAACAAGCAAACTCTGCTGGGCATGGTGATGCACAGGAGGCAGAGGCAGGCAACTTTCTGTGAGTTTGAGACCAGCTTGATCTACACAGTGAGTTCCAGGCCAGCCAGAGCTACAGTGAGACTCTGTTTCAAATAGATAGATAGATAGATAGATAGATAGATAGATAGATAGATAGATAGATAGATGGATGAATTAATGAATGAATGAATGAATGAAGCACTATGCATTTGATTCCACAAGTGTTCTCATCAACGGTAAATGGGCCTTACAGAGGAAAACAAGAGATATGAAACTCCCAAACAGTATGGCAGGACACTGCGCACACTCAGGACTCTAAACAACCTGAAGCCAAGATCACTGCTGGGGTCATGCAGGGCTGTCCTGACCCCACCGCTGGTACCATCTCCTGGGATAGAGGGTACAGGCTCTTAAGTATAGCTTAGTGGTCAGCTGTCTTCCAAATGAGCAACCACATCCATCCGACCCTTCCAGGCCACCTCCACACAGAGAGCAGTAAGGAGTGGTACTGAGGCTTAGGGCTCTGCCACCTCTGCTGGTGGGTTGACCCTGAGCACACTAACAATGGCAGAACATTTGCGCTCTCAACAGTCTGGCCTGGTCTGCAGGGAGTGCTTTCAACAAAGCCCCATCATCGGTTTCTGCACATGAGAAGAGGTATCTGGTGCACATGGCAGCACATCATTTACCAACGCCTGTGAGGTGGTGTGTTTGGTGAAAAAAAAAAAAAACCTGTCCTGGAGCACTTGTGAGAACACATCTTGGCCTTTGTGATCGCATTGTTCTACTTCCCCCCAGACCCAAAATGATGAGAACACCACAGGACTGCTCCTAAGGCAATTTCTTCCAACTGATGCTTAACGTCTTCTTTACCCAGAAAGCTGCCTCTTGTGTTTATTTTGAAACCTCAGCACTTGGCATATGAGCAGGCAAACATGTACAACAAATACAAATAATGGAATAGGCATGGTAAAGTGGCTTTGCTCCAACATTTGTCCTGTGAGGGAACAGTTCCAATACATTCTCTTCTATAGTTCTACTCAGCTTTAACATGTGAGTTTTATAATAAACAGCCAGTTCCCTCTTAACATCCATCTTTCATACCATATACAAAAATGTTAGGTCAAATTCTAAGAATGTAGCAAAGTATAACAAGACTACAGAGGCCAGGCCTGGCTGTTGCTTTCCTTTATAGATTCTATTGCCTCGTATACCTTTAGCTATCATCCTGTTATATACATTTGCGATACAACTAGGAAAAAGTTCTGGAACTTTCTCTCTAAGCAGTCCCATACTAGATGAGTAGGTTTGCATCTTACCAGCATTCATATCTTTAAACTTCTGCTTGAGCTCAGTCGGGGTAAGACGATACTGATCAAGACCATCGTTCCAGTAAATTCGGTCAAGAACCTGAAGATCTCCTCCAATCAGCCAATCTCCTTGTTCCAGGACCATCTAACAGGAAGCAAGAGGAAATTATTTGCTACAGTAGAAGCAAGAGCATTACTCTCACAGGAGCTAACCACAGTTTCTGCAAGCTGGACTCCATCTTAAAGACTGAGCTAGGCTTATGAACACTGCTAGAATTAAAGGCGCTGAAGAAAGAGAATGCTGTACTTCTTAAAGTACTTGTGACATGTGTTTGAATGAATTTCTGAAAAGGGACCAAAACCTAAATGAATGATTATTACTTCTTCAGTTTAAAAAAAAAAGAATATTTTTTTTCTGACTGTTATCAGATGCTAGTGAGCAGAATGTCTGTAACCTAAGGGTATCCTCTCTTGTTTGTTTTCCAATCTCAAAGTTTTGACACTAATTATCGCTGACAATCAAGTATATGCAAATTTGCCAGGCTCACTGATGAATTCATGCACAATTCCTCAAGTTTGACCTGCCTCCTTACCTCACCCTGCATCTGGAGGTGTGCACGCTCAGGACCCACACACACAGGATGCCGCTGACGTCCACCCTTCCCTGCACTGCCCTGGCTGGTGTCTAAATGCACTTCACTTCTCCCAAAGCTCAGAGTCCACTTCAGACAACTGAGAGACATTGGCCTTCAGTGCTGACATTTGCACGCTCACTACACAAGTGAGGCACTTTGGGGAGATGAATCTCGCGTCTCTGATTTTCCACAACAATACAATGTTAAGAGCCCAAAAGTAATCTGGGTGCTGTGGCACATGCCTGTACTCCAAGCACTCGGGGAGGCAGGAGGAGGAGGATCTCTGTGAGTTCCAGGCCAGCCTGGTCTACAAAGCACGTCCAGGACAGCCCAGGCTACATAAAGAAACCTTGTTTCAGAAAAACCTAAATAAATAAATAAATAGCCCCAAAATATTACGCTGCCCTGGTGCAAGTTCCCCTGTGGCCTGCCCTCACATCTTTGTAGGAACTTGATTAATATCTTTCCCTACCAGGCGGGCAGTGGTGGTGCATGTCATTAATGTCAGTACTCAGGAGGCAGAGGTAGGTGATCTCTGTGAGCTTCAGACCAGCCCGGTCTACAAAGTTGAGTTCCATGACGGCCAGGGCTACACAGAAAAAAAAACCTGTGCTGAAAAACCAAAAAAGAAAAAACAAAACAAAACAACAACAAAAAACTTTCCCTACCACTAGATTCCAAGAGAACAAACCTTTGCCCAACCCATCCTGTACTCCAAGCCAGCACTGAGCTCAGAGCCTGGTGCACGGCAGACACTTTAACTATGTGTTACAAACTGGGATAGACATAGTGAAACGGGCTTCGCATGCTCGGGGCTCCAGAATGAATTCCCAGAATCAATGATCTTTTAAAAAGCTACAGAGAGTCACTGAATAAATATTTACACACACCAAAATGACAAGACCATCTGCTCGTTAAACTCAGTGAAGGTCCAGTCTCTATTCTGCAAAACTTCACAACCCAGAGGAACAATTAACACACAGCTGATGACCACATCTCAGCACAAATGTTACTGCCACACGAGTCAAGACCTTAATGTAGGGGTGGTTCTTGCATGTTGTTCCCCACTGCCTGGCACAACGCTCCTCTTTCCGGTGCTCAAAAAATTCAGGATTCCGAAGAATAGCCACACGGCGGCCCTCATACAGCAGAGCGAACGCTGTACAGCCATCCAGCCTCTCTTTGTCCTCATGTGTAGCTGTCAGAACGATAGGCACTGACAAGTTGATGACACCTCCTGCAGGACACACAAGCGCACGGCTTATTCAATGGTGATCTTTGTCTTTGGTGACACAATTCAAATAACAACAACAATTTTTTTTTTTTTTTAAAGAATCAGGCCGGTGACATGGCTCAGCACTTGCCACCAAACCCGACAGTTCAATCCCTGGAACCCACATGGTAGAAGGAATGAACTGACAGCCGCAAGCTGTCTTCTGTCCTCAACATGTGTGCTGTGGCATGAATGACTACAGATACACACAGATGAGCATAGACATGCAACAGATTAACTATTAGGTAATTAATGGAAAAGCAGTTTAAAGAACCAGCGCACTGTCACTTGAGGACGAGGCACAAAGTACCACAAAAGCAACGAATTTCTTCAGAAAGTTAAAAGAGAGAGAGAGGAAATGGAGAAAGAAGAGCAAAGGAGTAGGTGGGGAAAGGGAAAGAAGGGAGGAAGGGATAGGGAAGAAAGGAAGAAGATGGAGGAAGAAAGGAAGGGGTGGGAGACAAGGGGATGGGAGAGGAGGAAAAAGAAAACAAAAAATAAAAAAAGAACCAACACCACATCAGACACTAATTTTCACAAGTTATCCAATTGTCCTTGAGGAAAAAAATTTAGACAGAATTACGAAAATAAAAGAAACCATTTACAAAGGAAGAATTGGGTGGTTGTCACTGTCAAAAATATATTGTGCATCCCATTTTATGAATGAGACCATTCTATTTCATGACCTTTCCAAGAAAAATTTAAATCTTCGTTGAAAAAAGAATGACACATTTCAAGTGGCAAACTGATTATGAATCCTTGAGTATATCTATATGATAAAGATAGTCTGAATTTTTTCTTTTTTCTTTATTTAATGTTAGTGTGTGTGTGTGTGTGTGTGTGTGTGTGTGTGTGTGTGTGTGTATGCACACGGAGTCTCTCAGTAGACTGACATTTCTAGAAGAAAGACCAGCCACCAAGCTCCCAGGATCTGCCTGTTTCCACTCGGTTCTGGGGGCACAGGTACACACAACCATGCTCAGCTTTTACAAAACTGCCAGGCTGCACTCCAGGTTCCCCAGCTTTCACAGCAAGTGCTCTTACCCACAGAACCATTTACCCAACCCTCCCACTCTTTAATTAAAATTTTAATATAGTCAGAATCAAATCACTGTCAATTGTCACTGGCCAAGAAACAAAAGCAGTAATCAGTGGCTCCAATTAATCTAAACAGTGTTCCCAGTGAGCCCAAGGCACAGTCAGTTCCCAGCCATGACACTCCACAGGTTTTGTTTTGCTTTCTTTGTTTTTTGAGACAGGGTCTCTCTACACAGCCCTGGCTGTCCTGGAACTGGCTATGTAGGAAAGGTTAACTTCAAACTCAGAGATCTACATTTCTCAGCTTGTGCTAGGATTAAAGATATGTGATGTGCCACTATGTCCAGCTCTGTGTGCACTCTTAAATTCCTATTTGGATTTATATATTGAAGAAATTGTACTGTGTAGAGAATCATGAACAAAAAAAAAATTTTTGGATAAAAGCTGTCAGCCATCAGTGAATCTGTATGCATTTCTGAGATTACAAGGAACAGGTTAAGATGAGAAACTGCTAAGCCAATCTGCACTAAATTCCAAGGAGGAAAAGCAAAATACAATATTTAATCTTAACAGAAAACAAACATATGAACAAAGCAGACCCTGAGAGAGGCCGTGTACTTTTATGTTCAGTTTCTGCCCTGACTGCCCAGCTTTCCTTCTTCCTCCATAGTGGATAACAATTATAGGAAAGAAAAGGAAAAATGTGAAGATGACCCCATGGTTCACTTAAAGTGTTCAGAACCAAAACAGCTTAGCCTTCATGACTACTCTATTGAGATGCCATGACTATCTTCAAGAAAAGTGACAAATACCTGAAACCATGCCTTGCCTCCTTTACACACACACTTTAATTGTAGGCGTAAACTACCTTACCATCCAGAAGACAACCAAAATGAAGGCACTGCAAGTATTCCCTCTCTCTCATGAAGCCGTTCAGAGGAGTTGCCCAACCTTCGGCCAAAACCTGCACCCACTGCATATCCACCTATAAATCAGACAGAAAGAAAACAAAAACAAACAAAAAAAAACCACACACACATTCATTTCAAGTATTTATGATCCCAAGCAGTAAAAACTGACATGCATTTAATTTTGAAAGTACTTGGAAACAGACATTTCAGTGATGGTTGTGGATCCTACAAATCGAAGAAAGAATAAGAACTCCTGGAGAACAAGCTTTTCTTCTAGCATATCTGTAACGCATCACCCTCCACACTTTCACCAGACAGTCTCACCGGTGGATCTCAAACATCAACGTGTACCAGACAACTTCTGGAAGGTGTGCTATCATACAGATGGCTGAGTGGGTATGGAGGTATGGTGGTATAAAGTATTAATCTTAGCAGAGGCAGAGGCAGGCAGATTTCTGTGGGCTTAAATGCAGCCTGGAATGCATAGCAAGTTTTGGGTCAGTTGGGCTACAGGGTGAGAGCCTGTCTCAAAGCAAACAAACAAATGCAGATTGCTTTGCATTCAATTTCCAAGGCAATGGAAATTTTATAATTCTGCCAAGTTCCCAGAACTGCAGACAGTGAAGATCTGGAAACTAGATGTTGATAGTCACTATCCTAAATCAAAACATACTTTAAACAAAATATTTTCCAAAATGACTCCTCTCCAGACAGAGAGCCTTCATCTTACAAAGACCATTACTGCTTCAAGTTCTGGACTTGTGGTACATCCCATCAGCACAGAGAGGAGGCTGTAAACCGCCTATGTCACTCAGCAATGGATCTCAATGAGAAAGGGCTAAGCACACGGCCAATGGTATGGTGTGCAATAAAATGGAGTCTCCTATTTATTTCTCAAAGCACAATGGTCAGTGTGTGCAAGGAAACATGAGGAATTGTACAGCCTCAATTCATGGAGAAACTCTTTATGGAGAATGCTTTTTCCACCTTCTAGTTTTCCTCTTACTTAGTTTTCTTAAAGCCATGATAGTGGTTATTTCTTGTCTCAATTCTAGATGGCATCTGCTAGGAGCCTTAGTGACTAAATAGGACTTGTGATGAAGTATCGTAAGTGAGCAGACAGGCATTATGTCTTGTGTGTACCATAAACTGAACAGATTTGTGAACTCCCAGACTGAAGAAAGGTCACATTAGGTGCCGTCCAAGACACCTACAGAAATATCTCTCTTTCCCTCTGTCTGTACAAACTCGGGGTCCTCCACGATAGCTGGCTGGAACAGCTCTGCTTTGCACCCTCCCCCGCCACAAACCCAGCGTCCGAAACCCGACCACAACAAAGTCCATCAAGACCGACTCCAGCAAAGATCTGAACAGTATGGAGGGGTCTCTGTCAGTTTCCATCCACAGTACTGAACGGCGGCACTTCCTTAAGTGTCCTAGATTCTTGTTACTGCAAAAGAAGGGCTGAAGGAAAAGCCAACCGCTACTCCATGTTCTTATTCCTTATCCTTTGTGGGGTTTTGTTTGTTTTTTCTTATATATCTGTTTTTAAAATATGTATAAATTATACAATTTAAAGTTAAAGTAATGTTTGAGAATGACAACTGGACATGGTGGTGCACACTTTTGATCCCAGCGCTCAGGGAGGCAGAGGCAGAGGCAGAGGCAGATAGATCGCTGTGAGTTTGAGGACAGCCTGTTCTACAAAGTGAGTCCAGGACCGTCAAGGCTTCATAGAGAAACCCTGTCTTGAAAAAAAAATTTTGAGAATAAGTCAAAGTTTCCACTCTCAGCCTGTCTAATTTAACTCAACAGTTGTTAATTGAGAAAAACACCTAATGGTATCATTAGACACAGATATACAACAGATCTATTCTTAATGTGTCCATTTTTCTTAATATAAGGGAAAGTCAAATTGGGAAACAATGTTTTAAAGGGGCAAAAATTCATTTTAATTATTATGGATTAGCATTTCTTAATATTTTAGAAACAATCCTTTCTCTTCTGCCCCCAAATCTCACATAATTTTTGTCCTTTGATATTTCAAAATAAGCAAATGTGACTAAAAGCAAATCAAAGTCATATGAATGTGGGATTATTGTTCCCTGTCCTTGGGAACTGTGGGATACAGCACAATGCCCCGCCGTGCTACTGCCACCCTGACTTCAAACACGGCCACTAAGCCCCCAATTTATCAAGCTAACAGTTGCACGTAAGGCTGTGTCACCCAGTTTGAAAAGCAACAGAGAACTTACTTTGTTGATTTTCAGTGCTGGTAGTGTTTCCGCATCAGTTTTTGCCAGATGAAGCTTATTCTCTGGCACGTACAGTTCTTTAACTTCATAGGAGGCATCCACAGGGACGATGTCCTTCACAGAATGAGAGGGCAGTTAGACATCTGATCCAACAATGCAGGCTTCCCCAGAAGGCATCTTAAGGAAAGAAAAAGTCAGCGTTTCTGCCAGAAAAGGGGGCTTCAGCGTCATGTTCCCTCATCGGTTTTCCTAATGTTAGTTGGTCTGCGCCCAAATAATATCCCACGCTCAAGAAGTCAGCATCATGCCCCATGATCTAGTGGAAAAGAGTAAATCTCTAGAACTGATTATGTGTCTGAAAAGGCAACTGTAAATAGAGCTGATCTCAGATACAAAGCAACAAAAATTCCAGACACAAGGCAAGCCATATAACTCCTCACTTTATACCATCTTCCCCCATGGGCCTTTATCCTGCGTGTCACTAAACCCACCATTTTACTCACAGCGTGTCAGCTGCCCTCCCACGACCGTTGACAACTAGTGCTTTCTGATCCCACATAAAATAATCTGGACTCAAAGTTCCAAGCACCCGCCTATGACACTGAGACAGACATTCTTCCTGCTCATCCTCTACAGACTGGACATGAAAACGTGGAGCAGACAGAGGTGTTCGCAGGTGCATAAGAGCCTATGCGTGCTACAATAGCCACATACACTGCTACCGGGAGATCTTTACAAGGTGCCCCAAATATGTTATCATGCCCCAAATATGTTATCATGCCCCAGATATGTTATCATGCCCCAGATATGTTAT